AACATGAATCTGAGGGGTAACTCAGTGAAATTCACTGTCCTAATCTAATTGAGAAATGATTGTGGAAGAGATAACCATGGGAGAGGAGAGGTAAGAATAGATTACATTATAGTAAAGAAGGAGTAGGACATGGGACTGAGCAGGACCGCTCTTCATATTGAAAGAGACTAAGATGTCTATGGCAGGAATGTAACTCAAATGCCTTCTCTAATGAGGCAGATTGTGTCTTCTCCAGGAGTGATGACAGAGAGTGGTAAAGACTCTGCTAAACCATAGGTGCAGGCCCCACCCCAAGACAACCAGTTATACATTATTTTAAAATACAGCTGGTGAGTGGAAACGTCTGTGGACTGTACTTGAACTCTAGGCCATGAGTTTAATTGATAGTGATTCTGATCTTGGAGAATCATTTGAGTCTTTAGAAGAGCTTGACTCAAACCCTAGCCTTATGTCGCAAACATTAATTCAACGGATTCAACGGATATATATTTTAAAAACTATCCAGATGATTCTAAAATCCATCAAGTCCGTGCCACCATGGGCAATAATAACCCCTAGTTCTGCAGCTTGAATAGCTTGAGTAGATAGTGATATCTATTATTATGACCAATAATACAGAGGCATGAAAACATTTTGTGCAATGGAACTTAATACCAGCTTCAAATACACTGAGTGAAAGAAGTCTGTTACTTATCTGTGTCAAATCAGATGAGAGTTGTGTAGGAGGGTCCAGAGGCTTTTCATATTTTACTTCTTCAGTCATTTCAAATGTCAAAATTAATTAACCACTTGGGCTCTTAAATTAATCAATGTTTTAAATGAAATGTGAAGAGATTATCAAATATAAAAATACTTAAGGTATTCAGGTCATTCTCAGGTTTTTGATTTAAAGTGCATGCACACTCTGTATGAATTTTTAATAAGGAACTTATATTATAATAACTTAAGGAAATTATGGCACTATCTTGGCCATGCATAAACTTTATCCTACTTCTAAAGTGACTAAACTCTTCACATAGCCTCATCAGGAAAAAATTAAAGACAAAAAATCCCGAATATCTGTCTTTTTAAAATAAACCAAAAATAATAGAATTATTGTGACTAGTTCTGGTCCCCTAAATAATGAAACCTGAATATTTCCTCCAAACCTGAATTTCCTAACAGTAATAATTTTACAACTTATTTTGCTATGCTGATAGCTAAACATTTGTAAAAACTCTTATAACAATGTTGCTACCATAAATTTAGTAAACCTTGCCATTCTGTGATTCCTATCTTTAAATACATATATTTTGTATTTAGGTATCAGTCTTCTCTGAAATCTGACTCGTTTGTACTCTAGTTAAAGAGTAGCTGAGTGGGGTAATTTAAACAATAGCCCCCTAAAATATATCGATGTCTTAATCTCTGGAATCTGTGAATATTACCATATATGGCTAAAAGGGATTTAGCAATGTGATTAAGCCAAGTATCTTAAAATAGGGAAATTTTCCTGGATTAACTAGGTGAGCCTTCCATGTAACCCCATGTTTCCTTATAATAGGGAGGTAGAAGATTTGAAGACAGAAGAGAAGAAGGCACTGTGGCCACAGAGGCAGAGATTGGAGTGATGAATCCACAAACCAAGAAGTATAGTAGGCCTAGAAGCTGGAAAAGGCAAGAACAGATTCTCCTCTAGAGCCCCTGAGCTAGTTTGGCCCTGCTGACAACTTAATTTAGGCCCAGTGAAACTAATTTTAGATTTCTGGCCTCTAGAACTGCAAAGATAATAAATTTCTATTGTTTTTAAGACACACATTTTTGGTAATTTGTTATAGCAGCCACAGGAAACTAATATTCCCATCATGTGCCATTTGGCGTTTCTACCAAAAGAATAAGTACTGTCAGGTCTCATTTCTCATTTTGCTGAGTGTCAAAATAATGGTAAGGAGATTTAGAGGTGGATACTGTTTATTCAGTATATGGTGCCTGCTTTGCAAGTAAGCCATCACACACGACAATTCCATGGTGCAAACAGATGGGGAGGGAACAGAAATGAGTATCTAGTAACTGCTGGTAGAATTTGGAAGTACAAGCATTTCAGTGAAGTTGATCAGCAGATTACAAGGTCCTAAACATGGAGATTCAGAGAAAAGGTCAAGATCCTTCAGCTGTGAGAAAATTTGAGTATAAACATTTAGACATAGTGGAGCAAAAAAGAAGGAAAATGGAATGGAGGGTATATTGAGAAAGCCACATGTTAAGTTAGAAAAATATGAGGTGATCACTTGGCTCTGTAAGTTAATAAGCATGAAACACTCAGAAAATAATTGAGTTCAGGTAAAACCGCAATATTCTCAGTTTTAAATGGGATTATATCTCCCATGTTAGATTGTTCCATGAAGATTAAGTGAAACATTAGAAACCGTAGATGAAATCTATAGTATTTGTTTCATAGTAGATAAATGCTTATATGAGATTTTTTAAGAAGGGAATCATGAATATATAAAGGTGTTTGAGTGTTGTGTTACAGAATCTTTGGATGATATATCTTAAGTTCTTTCAGTCTATGATCAGATGGATATCAAGTAGTCCCAGATATAGGATGAGAAGTAATGCAGATAAGAAACATGCAAGAAATTGTCACTGTCCTAATCAGTAGTGAATACCATATGAATCCCTTAAAGGAGAATAAAGAGAGAGAGACAATAACATGTGATCTAGCTTCTATCACCACTAACATTTTTATCTCCCCCACCCTCATCAGCTTTCACCAGGTTCTCATTTATGTATTTATTTATTTCTTACCAGCTTTTTGGACTCAGTTATTTGCTGGCTTTCCTGTAACCATCACAGGCTACTATTACCTTGGACATATTGTATCTTTTCTTGTAAGAGTTCAAATATTTTGATAAGAATTCAAATTCCTAACTCTCCATCACATATAATCATAACTGATATGAAATGTGGCACACAGAAAACATATTTATCTACGTCTGTGAAGTTATAAAAACACATTTATTTTCGCCAAGCTACCTGGAAATAAAAAACAGGCATTATTCTACCTGAATGAGGAAACCAAGCATGAAAATGGAATATTTGTTCATATTCACACAGGAAAAAAAATGGAAAAAAGATACTACTTCTAAAACCCATGTAAGTCTCAAACAGTTGAAGCTCCATTTTCTCTTTCTTGAGAAATATTCACTCTTCAAAATATAGTTGGTCTATTCAGGGAATATATTCAGGTACTAATCTCTAACCCAGCCTTTGAGAAATTTATTTTCAACTTCTGCCAAATTCACTGTTTTAATTATGCAAGACTCACTAGTTTAATAAGCCCACTCTACAGCCCACTGCTCAAAGTCTTTAGCAGCAGGATTCTAATAGAGCCAGGTCCAACATGCAAATGGTGCCATCTGTATCACCACATCCACTCCAGCAGCACTGTTATTAAATTAATAGTACAGTCTGCAAGATAAAACAGCAGAGATTCCAATCACTTGGAACCAGTTGAGGTTCTGTTTAACTTCCAGCAGAAACACATAGCCAGTTCAATCATGGCTAGCTTAGTTAATCCATACCCAGGACTGGGTCCAACTTCCCTGACCAAAGGAATTAAGGACCAAAAAGGAAAGGGGACAGTAAGAAGACATTAGTTCCCTAAGTACAAATATAAATGGGTTTCAGTCGAGTAAGCCTCATGTCCCTGATTGTATAAGGATTGGCTGACCCTTCTGGAATGAATTTAAACCTTAGGATTAAAGACATAATATCTGCTGGATGACTTAAGCTCTTCACAAAAAGGAAGTACATGAAGTATATTAAAATGGCATTTTTATATAGATTGACATATTGGTATACGTTAAGGTAAAACTTCTATTATTTGAAACTTTACTGTTTGCAACTTTGCAATTTGTTGCAGGTAGTTTTTACATTAGCCAATTTTGAAGAAATAAATATTAGACAAGATTCAATTTCTTTTTTTAAAAATATTTTTATTTTTATTTATTTCTAGGAGAGAGAGAGACAATGTGAGCAGGGGAGGGTCAGAGAGAGAGGGAGATACAGTATCTGAAACAGGCTCCAGGCTCTGAGCTGGCAGTCAGCACAGAGCCCGACGCGGGGCTCGAACCCACGAACTGCGAGATCATGACCTAAGCGAAAGTCGGACGCTTAACCGACTAAGCCATCCAGGCGCCCCGACAAGATTCAATTTCTATCACAGAAAAATTATTTCATTTTCTGTCCATATCACATAAACAGTAATTATGAGATTTTAGTTTCCGCCCTAACTCACTTAAAAAACACACGAGGTTGTACATTGGGGAAACCTGGACATATTCAGAAATATATCTCTTTGAAAGCTTCCTATGAGTTTCTTCAAAGTTTTATGACTACATGGTCCACTTCTGGAAAAGTGATGCTTGATAAAATGAACAAGACAATTCTGGTCATTATTAATATGCCTCTAATGCAAGTTTGGAGTTACTGGATTCATTTGAGTTGTAAGAGATATTAATCATCTTGTTGTCACTGTCCATGCACCCTTGAGGCTGGGCAAGAAAGCTGCGGGCCATAGCAGTCTACAGTGAGGCAATAAAATGACTGCATTTCTATGCCAAACATTTTAAATGCTCTGAATGACATAAAAAATTAAAGGTAAAAAAATGAACTCTGACATATTACAGTAACTTATTCAAAGACGAATAAATGTTTACTAGTAAGTCAAAAATTATATTTACACTACTATCTCAGTAGGTAAAAATTGCTTGTAAGTAATTTAAAGATTGTCACATGTTTTGAAGTTACTTTGATTCCGATTATTAAATATTACATATATATTTATACTTGAAGTTAACTGGGAAGTAAAAGCATTCCTTTAAACACTATCAAAAATATTAAAACAAGGGAATACTCAACATGAAAAGTTTTGTTTGTCCCACAGGAATACACAAAATATGTATCTTAAGTTAAAAAAAACCCAAAAAACAAGAATAAACACAATATTAAACATTTACCTTTAGGTACTATTTTCCTTTCAGGTTTCTCCTGCTTTTCAGTCTTGTCTTTGTGTATTTCTAGAAAAACATAATTTGCAATTTAAAAATTGTTTTTGAAAATATACAAAATATAAACTGTAACTATGATCTAAACTTTAAAATTCCACCATGAAGTCTAAGGTAGAGGTATTTAAATGGAAAAAGTCATTGTAATATATTGCTACATAAATCATTCACTTATTCAAATAAGGGAAAATTGAATTCACCTCAAAATTAGTGCTATTTGAAAAAGCTTAAAAACTTACATCAAGGGGGCTATGTTGTCACCATTTTCAGTGCTAAAATTGATCACAAACTATAATTATGTTTTATTTCAATTACTCTCAATACAATTAAGAATCCTTAGTAAGAATGTCATTTAGATTGAGGAAGATTTCATTTTTACATATTAAATTAAGAATTTGTGAAATGAACTGTAACTACCTAATAGGAAATATATCTCAGAAGTATTGACTCTAAGCTATGTTTATAATCAGAATTTGGCATTGCATTTAACCCATAATTACTGCATGCAGATATGACACATTTCATGGAATAAATCGCTTGTTACATTTTTTCCTAAATATAAGATTTTAACAAATATATTTAATTTTCTGCTAGCTTCAGTATACATACATTGCCAAGGCTTAGAAAATGAAGTTAATTCTGAATTTGAAGTTAATTTAGATGGAACTAAATTAGATATTAGAGTTTACAAATATGATTACTACCTCTGAAAAGTGACTTAGTCTTAATACCATGGTTTTTCATAGGAAAATGCTAATGAGGTTTACTTATTTATTTATCACAACTTTATTTCACAGATGATCTGAGATGGTGCTAATTACTGTACACATTTTAAATTCTCCATTTGTAATTGTGAATTTGCACTTATGTAATTTTTCCAGAAGTCTAAAATCAAGACCAACCATAGGAAAATCCGAAGTATCTTCAGATAAGACAGGTAGTGATTTTCACCTGTTAAGGAGGTAATTATCCCTGTGAAAATGTCCTCTTCTTGTTTATGCCATGAATCCATCCTCACATATACAGGGCCAGACCTTTCCCTTATCCCATCCCTGACTTTGATATGGCAATGGAGATACAAAAGAGTTAAAATACTTTATCACATCCCTGGTAAAATTTTTCCAAGTTTCAAAGAAAGATCTTCAAAGGCCACAGGAAATTTACATTTTTTTGTCTCTCCCACCATTTTTTAAAAAAATTTGTTCTCCATAGGTTTCCAAATCTTACTCCGAATGTGTGTGTGTGTGTGTGTGTGTGTGTGTGTGTGTGTGTGTTTAGATATCTGTTGGTCACTTACTATCAGTCCTTTTTAAGGTGGGTGAATCATTATTTGGGGGTAGAATAGGTTATTCTGTGCCATCTATGGTATTTAGCAGCATCCCTGGCTTCTCCTGTTAAATGTAAGTAGTGGCTCCATCCCCTGTCATGACTATGAAAATTTCTTTAGATGTTGCCAAATGCTAATTGCCAAATGCAAACGTCTTCAGACATTGCCAAATGTAGGACAAAGTAAGCCTCCAAGAATGTGTTCAGATAGCTCAGGACAGTATTTCTTTTGCATACCTTGTCCTCTTGGTTTCTGTAGTATTTCTATAATTAAGAAAGAAGAATAGTGTTGCACTATATTAAATTATTATATAGAGGTATATGGGTAGAAAATTTTCATCTGTGTTCAGGTTGCAAAGGCACAATAAAGTTGCATTTTATCAGCTATAGACAATAAAGCTAACAGAAACCTTACTTAATATACTACCTAAAGATATTTATCTAGAACTGCCTAAAGATATGAGATAACATATCTAATCACTGTTACTTTAGACCTGCACTGCCCTAGGCAGTAGCTACAAGACTCATGTGAATGTTAAGGACAGACTATGAGGTTAGCGTACATTAAGATGTGATGTAAGTTTAAGTACATACTGAATTATGGAGACTTAGTATAAAAAAGAATGTACAATATCTCATCAATGATTTTATGTTAATAACATATTGGGATGGTATGATCTGGAGTATATTTAGTGTTATCATTTTATTTGTGTGTCACCTTGGTTACACTAATATCCCAAGTCATTCAAATGAACACTAATCTAGGATTTGTTGTGAAGGTATTTTACAGATGTAATTAAAATCCCTAATCCATAGACTTTAAAAAGATGATTCCGGATCACGAAGTTTCCCAGGGAGGAGAAAGAAATTCTGTCTGGGGATGACAGCTTCAGCTTCGGTCCCTGCCTCTGGGTTCACTTTTGCCTGTGATTTTCCCTTCCTGACTGCCGTCCTCTACTTAGCCAGTCCCCACAATCACATACGCCAATTCCTTGTAATAAATTTCTTAATATATCAATATATCTGCATAATCTCCTACTGGCTCTGCTTTTCTGGTTGAGCCCTCACTGAGTCCCTGATTAGGTTAAATAAGACATGCCATTAAAATTAATTTCATATTATTCTTTTTACGTTTTAAATGTGTAGCTACTTGAAAATTTTAAATTGTATATGTGGTTCACACTGTATTACCATCAGCCTGTGCCGGTTTAGTCTTAAGAGTGGGCAAACTATCTTTGAAAAACCTTAGGTCATCCACAGAGTTAAATCTTTAGCAAGTGAAAAAGAAAACTTGAAATTCTCCCTTGCCAGTACTATCTTGCTTCCTCCCTCCTATTCAGATCTACAGAGGCTGCAAAGATTGGTGCCTTGTATAAATCAGGCCAATAAGGCAAGTAAAATGCCAAAGATTTAGAGTAGTCTGGATATGCTAAGAGAGTCACCTTTAAAAGATAATTTCTTACCCCTAGTAGGGATTGATTTGAATACAGAAATGGAAGAAAATTTTCTAAATTAAAAGCTTGCTTGAAATACTACCTTTGTTGTGAGACAAGAATACCTTGAAATTGTCGTTTAGAATGATATTTTTCATTTAGAGGGAGGTGCGTGTGCATGTATGTGCATGCAGTAGGCAACTATTGGCCACTCAGAAGAACAAAAAAAGAGGTGCTGTAGCTCCTACAGAGGATCAGACTTGAGTTAGAATTTTCTGTAGGATCAGGTGCTAAAGGCCATCCTGCCTGGGTAGTTCTAAAAGCCTTCTGGTCTAGTTTCATTTGGGGAAATACACTGGACAGGGAAATACACCACAGGGTGGTGGTGTTTGGGGTTAGACAACCCATGTTTGTCCATGGCTGGGTTTCTTGCAAGGTGGATGGATGTTTGCACATCAGAGAACTGCAATGAGAAGCAGTAGCAGGAGCCACCTTGGCACCCCTTCGCTCTAGTTCCTTTGTACACAGCAGCATCCCATCAAAAAGGAATGAGCTGTAGATTGTGATCAGCATTGAAATGAGCATAAGTCCATCCTTGAGGGAAAAAATAAAGTTAAGAGAAGACAAATCTCAACAAGGTTGGGATCAAGAGCACCATTCATGAAAAGGTACCGAGAAATGCATTCCCTCCACCGTTTTCCAAATACAGGGAAAGGAATTAATCCAAAGAAGGTAAATCCTAGCATGTTGGATATATTTCACTATACATTTTCCTTAAGAAAAATATAACTAAAATGAAACTAAAAGAGAATTAGGCTGAAAAAATGACAACATATTTCTTAGTCTGTTTTTTACTCTATAGTAAATGGAGCAGACATAATCCAGTTCTATAACTCAGACCAATCTCAAGGATAAAGCCCTAATTTTTTATTTTCCTGATTCCGTACTTCAGTCTTCTACAAGGACAACCTCATTGCTCTGGGAAGATCTACTTAGACTTCTCATAAGTGGCAGCAGGGGTCATGGATTAAAATACACACACATACACAATAAAATCTTTACAGGTCACAAAGAAATATGATGACTTACACAGGCATTTTTTTTTTTTTTTGTATAGGAATGTCATCAACTAATTTTTTTAACTCACCTGAAGACCATTAGTATTTCTATAGAGGCATGTAGACTTGCACAGCTAACCTTATAAAGGCACACTTACACATATATTTTTCTGCTTATAGAAGACAAAAGAGGGACATCTGGGTGGCTCAGTCGGTTAAGCATCCGACTTCAGCTCAGATCATGATCTCGCAGTTTGTGAGTTCGAGCTCCGCGTCAGGCTCTGTGCTGACAGCTCAGAATCTGGAGCTTGCTTTGAATTCTGTGTCTCCCTCTTTCTCTGCCCCTCCCCAACTCATGCTCTGTCTCTCTGTCTCTCTTTCTCTCAAAAATAAATAAACATTAAAAAAAAGAAGACAAAAGAAATTTACTTCTTATGATTCAAACTTAAGGATAAATTAAATCTCTCTCTGCATGCTTTATTGCAACATTGAATTTTCTTTGGGAATTGGATTCTATGACAAGTGTCAATGCCTGTGGCTATCAGATGCCTAGAGAACACAATGGAGCCTCTGCACATGTGCCAGTTCTGTCTCCTTACAATTGAGCCAGGAAATGATAACCATCCAGGATTCTGTCCAATTCAGTAACAACATGCTACCAAAAATATCCTACTTCATAAGGATATTTTTCTCATAAGCAGATGATGTTTGATTTGTTACTCTCAACTGCTCTTTCCAGCTAGGAACCATTCATATAAGAATGTAAATTTTAATTTTAAAGATTCAAGTCACTAAATGCAGAACTTTATCACTCTACGGTTTTCAACAAACTTCCAAGAAAAATAAAATTTCCTGAATTATATTACAACTAGCTTCCAGTGGTTTAGTAATTTCCACAGACTGGTGGATAACTCCATTTTGCATAATATGACAAAAATGTATAATTGCATAAAATTGCATTTAACATCATGACACATTTAAGTACAGTTCAGCACAAATCCTGGATACAGGGGACAAAGAAGGTCAAAGCAGTTGTTATTTACCTTCAAATATATGTGCTTTCCAATTAAATTAGTATCCAATGTCTCAGAAGATATTATAATAAGTCTCAGCCCCAGATGCCAGTTGGAATCATAAGCCATTTTGGTAACCAGTAAACCTTACAGATTGTTTTGTGGCTTAGAAGGCACAGAGG